CAACGTGGGTGCAGACGTGAGAAAATTTCAATTTTTGGTTCACCCACCGCCACTGGATACCCCACATTCGTATTCAGACATTTTAAACATTCTCCTAAATCTAGTAAGAACTCCTAACGTCAGGGGCTTCGTCAAATTGGCCGTTTTCCTCCAGTATTTTTGCAAAGTCCAGATGCATGCACATCTGCGTACGGTCCCTTAACACCAACAAGTTGGGCGTACGGTCCCCTAGCGCCAAACACTATGGTGGCGTACGGTCCCCTAACATCAGCCAAATTGGAATACCAAGGTGAGGACAGATGGGTGTTTGGAGAAGGATACTGTTAGTTACTACATTTTTCCATTTCTTCTTTTGTTTCTGTCTGTTGACCTTCCTGTTTTCCCTATGCCCTATTGTCGTTATTAGGTGGATGTGCCACTCTTAACTGCGATTTCGGCGCTGTGTGTGTGCGTGTGTGTGTATATATGTATGTGTGTGTGTGTGTGTGTGTGTGTGTGTGTGTGTGTGTGTGTGTGTGTGTGTGTGTCATACTGTATGTGTGCTCGTGTGTGTCATACTGTATGTGTGCTCGTGTGTGTATGTGTGCTCGTGTATGTATGTGTGCTCGTGTGTGCTTATGTGTTTGCATATGTGTGTGTGCTCGTGTGTGCTGTGTGTGCGTGTGTTTGTGTGTCTACGCTTGTGCATTGTGTATAAGATATATGAAAGAGACACCACATTGTAAATGTGCACAACATATGAGTGTTCCCACTAATTTTTCACTTCCCCATCCACCTTCCTCCCAAGGAAATACCCATGAGATGCTGTCATACATAACACACATTCATATTTCTAGCAAAACTTCAGCTTTCCCCTTGCCAGGTCAACTACACGTTGAGGGGTCATGACCTTATTGTGACATTTCCAACCACCAGGAATTCTCCGACTCTGGGCCGGACATGCCAGATTTCCGAGAGAAGTACTTGTTCTTCAAGCAGGTGGAGCAGAAAGTCTCGTCCTTACAGCACGTCATCCTGGTGGGACCTGTGGCCCTCAATACAGGTCCGTGCGTCGTCACTCAGTCACTCACTCTACACATGTATGTGTGTCGCATTTCACTCACTCACTCGCTCGCTCACTCACTCACTCACTCAACCCAGAAAATAATAAACAGCATTTGTAGAGCGCAAATCACGCCTAACAGCAAGCTCTATGCACTTTACAATCTATATTCTATGTGGAATGATCAGAATGCGTACTCTAAGTGAGTTAATTGAGCATCAATCGATCAGTATGTAAAAGTGAAGTTAAATGTCTGGCCCCCACACCCCCTTAAGTTTGTAAAAGTATAATGTTTGACCACCAGATCCCCTCAAGTTGTAAAAGTGAAATGTTTGACCCTCACTTCTCCTCAAGTTGTAAAAGTGAAATGTTGGACCTAACGTCCCCCAAAGTTGTAAAAGTGGAATGTTTGACCGCCAGATCCTCTCAAGCTAGCTCTGATGGTGGAGTTGTCCGAGTGGAAGAGATCCTACGGCAGGGTGCTCAACGAGATGATGAAGGTGAAACTTCTAGAAATTTCTCTTGTTCTTTGGGAGTTTTGTACGGCATGGTGCTCAGTGAGACGATGAAGTGAACCGTCTAGAAATATATCTATAATTTGCTGGAAGTTTTATATGGCAGTATGCTCAATGAGATGATGTAGGTGATATTCTAAAACTTTCTCTTTTTAGTTGGCAATTTTAAATTTCAAGGTGCTTAACGAGATAATGAAGGCAACAGTTACAGAGTTTTAATTTCCCCTTGTTTGCAAGTAGTCGACTCTTGTGGCCTAGAGGTTACGGTGTTCGCCTCCCATTCAAAGGTCCCGGGTTCGAATCCGGGTAGCGACGAAATAATTTCCTGCTCTAAAATTGTCTCCTTTTACCTCCTTTCCTACTCCTAACAATGTTCTGTCGTTTGCTTTCGTTTCCACTTTCTGCTCCCATCCTCTCACCTCTTTTGCCCCCTCCTCTAGGCTCCTGACTCTTTCTGCTACTCCTTGGCTCCTTCTTACTGCTGTCTTTCAGCCATGTCCCTGAACTTCTGGTAGGAATGTTCTACACTTAGCCTTCTCGGATAAGAGCGAAAAATCTCATAGCTCCCGTGTGCAAGCTGCGCATGGTAAAGATCCCTTGGTGGTCTAAAATCTTCGGCCGCCATCCGTGCAAAATTCAAAATTTTCTTCCAGTTGATCATGTTTAATTTGTGCCACGCGCTCATATGACCTCATGCAGTTGCAAGTGCCGTAAAACACGTTTAAAAACAACACAAACACACACACACACTAAAAAAACAAACAAACAAACCAACAAAAAACAAACCAACAAAAAACAACCCCCGTATGGTTTGTGTATGTGCCAGACGCGGGTCAACGAGTTGACAGAGTACATGGCCAGCGAGGCAAAGCAGCTGAGTAAACCCGTCAAGGACCTGGATGACGTCAGGATGGCCATGAACAGCCTGGCCTCTGTCCGCGACAACTACATCCGCATGGACGAGGAAATGATGCCTATTGAGGTACTGGTCAGTCTGTCTATCTCTCCTCTTTCCACTCCCACACTCGCTTTCTCTCTCTCTCTCC